AGCGTGGTATGGGCTACATGCCCAAACGTGGCCTGGAAGTGAATAAGTGTGAGATTGCCAGGTGAATGATCCCCTCCCCCTTTCTGACCAGACCTTCAGCACCCACTCATGCTGTATAGTATTACTCATCTTCCTGTTTCCACAGATTCTATAAGCTTCATGAGCGGAAATGTGAGCCCATTGCCATGACAGTGCCTAGAAAGGTGATGCTCCTATGCTCCTCCCTGGGCGCTAGGACAGGAACTGACCACGGGGGTTGTAGGAGGGGCAGGAACATAAACACTCTCATGACCAGCCTTGGCCTTGCCCACAGTCGGACCTGTTCCAGGAGGACCTGTATCCACCTACTGCAGGACCTGACCCTGCCCTCACAGCTGAGGAGTGGCTGGGTGGTCGGGACGCTGGCCCCCTCCTCATCTCCCTCAAGGATGGCTATGTGCCCCCAAAGAGCCGTGAGCTGAGAGTCAACAGGGGCCTGGACAGTGTACGCAAGAGAGCCACACCAGAGGCCAGTGGCACACCTAGCTCGGTGAGGCTGGTGGGGAGTGACAGACTAGGGCAAAGGCTGTGTGGATATGCTCAGGGTCTCAGGGAAAGAGTCTGGTATTTATAGGTTTCCAAACTCCTAATGTCGGGAAATTCTTGGAGGACAGGAGTAGGTGACCCTGAGGCCTTAGAAATCAGGTCACAAGCTTATAGGGCAGTGATCCAAGTAGTAGCTGCTGGGGACCAAAGGGCCCAAGCCTTGAGGTTCTTGGAAAGGACGCTACAGAAACGCTGGGCCTAATGCAGTGCTGGCTTCCCTAGGACGCTGTGTCAAGGCTGGAGGAAGAGATGAGGAATCTGCAGGCCACGGTACAAGAGCTACAGAAGCGCATGGACAGGCTGGAGGAGACTGTTCAGGCCAAGTAAAGGACCCCGAGCCTTCAGTGGGGTAGACATTCAACTCTGCTCCCACCCTACCCCTCAGGCCATATGGTGAATAAGATGAGAATAATAAAACGGCTTTATTTTCTGTACCTCTCAGTCTATGGTGAACTGACCGGTCCCAAGGCTTCCCCCTTGATGGTTCTGAATGCACTATCCCATTCAGGTTGTGGGCCACTTGTCACATGTCATTGCTAAATGGACTGTAGCAAATGAATGGGGCCTTGGACTATAGATAGCCAGGGATGGAGCTGAGAGACTGCTCTGTTTCCTGGCTCCATCTGAAGTGGGTCTGAATCATCAAGATTTTCCATATTCACCCAAGGCTTCTCACATGTCATTGCTAAATGGACTGTAGCAAATGAATGGGGCCTTGGACTGTAGATAGCCAGGGATGGAGCTGAGAGACTGCTCTGTTTCCTAGCTCCATCTGAAGTGGGTCTGAATCATCCAAGATTTTCCATATTCACCCAAGGCTTTTCTTGCACAGACTATATACAGTTATATTGACACTGGTGCTTATGGGGAAACCAACAAGCAAATGGTGACATTTTCAAACCAAAGTCAAAGAACAAAAATAACAAGACTTCTGGTCAGACATGATTCACACATGTAATCCAAACACTTGGGAGACTGAGTAGGACTGCTGGCAGTTTCAAGCCAGAAATTCAATTGAGAATGGCTATAAAGTGACATACAGACTCAAAAAACAAAACAAAACCAGAAATGGGGCTTTGGGATGTAGCCTGGCTGGCAGCATGCACCAGGTCCTGGGTTTGATCCCCAGCACAGCATAAAACAGGTGTGGTGGCCCACATCTGTAATCTCAGCACTTGAGAGGTGATGGCTGGTGGATCAGAAGTTCAAAGCCAGCCTAGGAGAGACAGCCTATCTCAAAAACAACTGTAATAAGATAAATAATGACAGACAGACAGACAGACAGACAGACAGACAGACAGACAGACAGACAGACAGACAGACAGACAGACAGACAGACAGACAGACAGACAGACAGACAGACAGACAGACAGACAGACAGACAGACAGACAGACAGACAGACAGACAGACAGACAGACAGACAGACAGACAGACAGACAGACAGACAGACAGACAGACAGACAGACAGACAGACAGACAGACAGACAGACAGACGGGGAAAAAAAAGGAGGCCTGAAAGATGACTAAGTGGTTTAGTGTTTGCTCTGCAGTCATGAGCACTGGAAGTCAGATCCCAACACCCATGTAACAAGATGGGTGTACTTACAAACCTGTAAATCCAGCTCTGACATGGACAGAAACAGGATTGTGGGGCTGGCTGGCTTCTAGCTTAACAAGATGCAAGCACTCAGGTTCAAGGAGAGAGCCTACCTCAAAGGGATAAGTAGGAAGTGACGGAAGACATCTGACATCCTCTTCTGGCCTCCACTCATGTGTATAGGCATATACACACACACACTCATGTACACCAACATGCATATATTCATACATACACATAAATAAAAATAAAGCTTGTGTTGGAGACATAGCTAAGCAGTTAAGAGCACTTGCTGCCCTTTTAGAGGCCCAGAATTCGGATCCCAACACCCACATCAGATGGCTCACAACCCACTGCAACTCCAGCTTCAGGAAACTTAACACCCTCTACAAGCAACTACATCCAAATCCACAAATACAAATAAGCCATGTGTGACACATGCCTTTAGCCCTAGCACTGTGGAAGCAGAGGCAGGCAGATCTCTTAAGTTCCAGGACAGTCAGGGCTACATAGAAAGACCTGTCTCAAACAAAAACAACTTGACAAAACCAAGACAAAGTCCCATAAGGGCAAAGCTTAGAAACCAGGCCAACAGCCTGACTCTGGACTGAAACACACAGCAGGGCAATGGTTGGCAGAAGGGCAGTCTGGAGGTATGGTTTAACCACCCCCTTTTACTCCTAGCATTCTGCTGCCTCACAGCATTTCCTGTGGGTTTCACAGGACCTGGCGTCTGAGGAAAACAGGAAAGAACAGATCTCTTAAGCATGGTCAATAGGAGTAAGGTGTTTGTTTTTGTGTGTTTTGTGGCAGTCTCACACAGCCCAGGATGGTCTTGAACGCCTAACACTTCTGCCTCTACCTCTCAAGTGCTATTCTGGACTCCTAGATGCCTGGTTCCAGTGGTCCTGAGGATTGAACTTAGGGCTTCCTGTGTGCTAGGCAAGCACTCTGCCAACTAGCTAATTGTCATCATGGGAGTAGCTTTTGGTGCCTAACTGATGGGAGACTGCAGAGCTGGGATGATATAGAGGGGCTCGGGAGAGTATCCGGGCCACCACAGTTCATACAGTTCAGAGAATACCTGGGACCCCATCCCCAGCCCTTTCCTCTTTAGCAAGCCATGGAGTTATCTGGATCTAGAGAATGGTACACAAATAGTCCTGCCTGCCCAGTTGTGCTTCACCCTCTGACAGGACATGTGATCTCCCCTATAAACTGGAGGGCCAATGAAGGGTTACTCCTCTAGAGATACAGGCTAGGCTACCCTCTGCATGTTTCCTGTGTCCTCTTTTGGGATCCTTGTGTGTGCAGACTGAATCACTACTTCTCCAGAGGAACTAAAACACTAAGGAAATGACCCTGGGAACGGAGAAGGCCCGACAAATGACTACTATGACTCCAGTCCCTTTGATGGAAGAACGAGAAGATGGAGGCAAAGTAAATAACTGCCAAGTGTCAGAGACAGGCTTTGACAATATGGTGAAGAGGAGTGTGGGGATTGACATCTGCAGTCATAGCTGCTCAGAAGACAAGGCAAGAGGACCATCTGAGCTCATGAATTTAAGAACAGCCTGGAAAATACATTGAGAGCCTGTCTAAAAGACAAAACAAGACAAAACCAAAGATCCACAAAGAGGAACGGTATTGACTTCATGCCCCCCCTGAGGCCTGAAAAGAGACTGATAACATGTGTATCTATCTGTCTCTCTCTGATACCTCCAGGAGCCTGGAGAGAGGGAGATGATAGAAAAAGGCTCAGGGTTTCTGATCCTGGAGGGCTGGCAGAGCAGGAACACCCTACTTTCTGAGGCACCTTGGTGACAGTACAGAGACCACGTGGGTAGACAGAGAAGGCTTACAAGGCACCCCTAGCAGAAACTAAAGACAGGACAATGCTAAAACAATGGCTGGAGGAAAGGCAGGGGAAAGCCAAGTTCTTGACTCAGCCTCAGAGCCATCATCAAACAGCACTCCGACACCAGATGGACCTGATTTACAATTTAATGGCTGTTCAGGCCTGGGCCCCTCTCATTTCTGCAGCTCTCGGGTCCACTGCTCTGGGGTCAGAGTTTTCTGCTCAAAAGCATGGATGTGCGGGAGCTCTTCTGCTAAGCACTCATTCACCAGCCTGGGTGAGAGATGGGATTGGGAAATGACCGGGGTGGTGGGCTCCAAAGCGAGCATGACCAGGGAGATCGGAGATGTCTCCGGGAAGTCCAACCACAAAGGCTGGAGCACCCACGGGTTATGGGCCACATCGCGAGGCTTTGGGAGTGAGTTAGTCCCCACCCGGGTGGACTGCAGTCCCGAGCCCGAAGCCGCGCTGGGCGAGGGGTTCCTGGGGCTCACCGGTGTCTCTGGAGCAGTGGCTTTCCCTCGAACTTAGCCGACACCACCAGGACTCGGAAGCTGGTCGCGCAACGGTTGAGAGTCGTGTCCTCCACCACCTAGCCAGCAGAAGACCCAGACGATGGGGCGCTCGCCCTGGAGTCCTTTCCCGCCGCCCGAGGCCCCGGCCCCGCACTCACCACATGGTCTGCCTCCAGGTCCCGCTGCAGCTTCTCGCGGAGGTAGTCGGCGCTGAGTTCCATGGCCAGAGCCCGACGGGGTCCACAGGCCGGCGTACTGAGAACCTCGCCTCGGGTCCCACCACCCCGCCTTCCGCCCTCACTGTAGCCACTTCCTTCACTCCGCTTACTCCCGCCCTTCCTGGGGCGGTCTCGAAGGCAACGCTTCCGCCCCCTGGCACACTGAATTTGCCACACTTGGGAGGTTCCGCTCCGGCAGTTAGCCAATCCGAGCGGGACTGGAGGGCAGTGGGCGGTGCGGCCGCGTTTGCTCACCCTCCTCCTGCCAGCAGGCGGCGCACCAAGCCGAGCTGCCGGGTTTCCCGGGCTCTGCACGATCTTTCTCGAGAGCTTTTCCCTAATCGAACGTTTTACAGTCCTGGATACCCAGCCCTTTGCGAGGTCCGAAGTCCCAGAAACCACCCCTCATTTCGGACCTCCAACCCAGAAAGTCCGGATGGGACATACAGCGAGACCGGAGCGCTTCTTCGGTGTCTACCTGCTCTACTGCCAGAACCCTCGGCATCGGGGCCGCGTTTACGTGGGATTCACTGTCAATCCTGCTCGTCGGGTCCGGCAACACAACGCCGGTCGCAAAAAAGGTGGCGCCTGGCGGACCAGCGGGCGAGGACCCTGGTAAGAGGGCGCCGGTGTCTTGCCGGAAGGCTCTGGTTAGACAGAGGCGGGGCCAATTCTGTGATCGCGGGCGGTGCCGAGTCCCTGGCCTGTCACCCGGGTGAGCGTAGCGGGAAGGCGGCTCCTGTGGACTCTGCGAAGGCTGGATTAAGATTTGGGATGGTTAATTGGGGAACAGAGTCACAAACCAAGGGCTGATCTGTAACTCCAGTACCAGGGTATGGAACGCTCTCTTCTGACCTCTTCGCCCATCTGGCACGCACGTGGTGCACGTACCTAAATACAGACATACAGGCAAAACCACTCATACACATAAAATAATAAACTAAATCTAGGGAAGAATTAAAATCAAAAGCTAAGGGCCGGGCGGTGGTGGCGCAAGCCTTTAATCCCAGCACTCGGGAGGCAGAGGCAGGCGGATCTCTGTGAGTTCGAGACCACCCCGGTCTCCAGAGCACGGGCCAGGATAGGCTCCAAAGCTACACAGAGAAACCCTGTCTCGAAAAACAAACAAACAAACAAAAAAACAACAACAACAAAAAAAAGCTAAGTTATGGAATCAGCCTAAGTGCTCGCCTTAGGGTTACTGTTGCTGTGATGAAACACCATGACCAAAAAGCTCACTGGGGAGGAAAGCATTTATTTGGCTTACTCTTCCACATCACTGTTCATCATTGGAGGAAGTCAGGACAGGAACTCAAACAAGAAAGAGCTGATGCAGAGGCCATGGACCTAGGACCACCAGCCCAGGGGAGTTGCACCACCCACAAAGGCCTGGGCCCTCTCCCACATCAATCACTAATTAAGAAAATGCTCTACAGGCCTCCGTACAGCCCGATCTTATGGAGGAATTCTCTCAATTGAGGCTCCCTCTACTCTGATGACTATACCTTGTGTCAAGTTGACATAAAACTATTCAGCACAGTGCCCATCAACAGGTGAGTGGGTGAAGAAAATAGGACATATACTAGATATAGTTTTGTTTTCTCGGTTTTTTGAGCCAGGGTTCTCTGTGTAACAGCCCCGACTGTCCTGGAACTAGCTCTGTAGACCAGGCTGGCCTTGAACTTACAGAGATCCACTTGCCTCTGCCTTCTGAATGCTGGGATTAAAGGCGTGGGATTAAAGTGCTGGGATTAAAGATGTAGTTTTTAAAAACCTTTTTTTTTTTTTATTCGTAAGAATGTTTTGCCTTCATCCTAAGTGCACCATGTTCATGCAGTGCCCGCGGAAGTCAGAAGAGGGCGCCAGACCCCCTGGAATGGGAGTTACAGACAGATCTGAGCCCAGGTCCTCTGCAAGAGCAAGTGAGCCTAACTGAATCACCTCTCCAGCCCCAAAATGCAATTTGACTCAGTCATAACGATGAATGAAATTATACCTCTTCTGAGAAAGTGGATGGAACTGGACATTATCATGTTAAGCTATAGAACAAATACCTCAAGTTTTCTCTCATTCAGGATTTAAAGAAAGGTTATATAGGAAAGGAACTATTTGGAATGAGGAAGAAAGCCAAAAAAAAAAAAAAAATGAGGGAAGTGGTTGTAAGCAATGACAAAAACATTACATAAGTGGGAGAATGTCGATGCAGCTATTATTTTGAACAGTTAATATACACCAGGAAAAATTGTTTTAAAGACTGGGATCAGGAAACAGGGGCCCTGGTCAGCAAGACTGGGCCTAGAATACTACTTACAAAGGAGAGGAATTAAGGACCGGGTAGGAGCCTGAGGTTGTCAGGTACAGGGGGGTCTTCCATCTCCACAAAAAGATTCAAGTCCTAATGGCCAGGTGTGAAATGGTGTGTCTGGGCTCTCAGTGTGAACTGGAACACAGGCCTGGAGGTGGGGTTGAGGTGGAATGGGGACTCACTGGCTGTGCCCTCTCCTCTCAAGGGACATGGTGCTGATCCTGCATGGTTTTCCGTCTGCTGTGGCCGCCCTTCGGGTAAGAAGGTGTCGTAAGGGCGGGCTAGTCTGGGACTTAGAATTTGTCTAAAA